ACCCTTCTGCTGAATGTCTCTGTCTCGAACAGGAGACATTCAGCGGTGGGTGGCCTCCCCCAGGGCAGGGGACATGTAATGCTTCTTGCAGTTCTGGGTGGGAGCTCTCTGCTTTGCTCTGCCTAGCCAGCACCACAGCCTTCCACTCACCTTGCACCTGCAAGGACTGGTTGTCACTGCCCCTGTTGGCTCTTCAGGGAGCCCTCTGCAGCAACCTTGTCACAACCCTGCTCACGCACTCATCAACCACAAGTGTCAGAGCCATCCTTGGGCAGGTACTGTTCAGCAGCAGCCTGTGGCTGGGAACCTTTTCTCCTCCTAGCAATCCTGGCCTGGGGTCTCTGGTGTGCTAGGTCAGGACTTCAGCTTCTCCCACACCTTGTGCCTTGAGCCCTTGGGTTCCTTTGTCAGCGCTATGCTACCCCTATCCCCAACCCACTTTAATTTCTTGCAACTGTAAAAATAAAAACAGTTACAAATAGAAAAAATATTAAAAATAAAAATAGATAAAAATAAAAAATATTCTTAAATATAAAAAAGATATTAATAATCTAAATTAGCAAAAATAAAAATCAAACTGTCAATCCTAAGTGTTTGACAGGTAGCCACCTGAAAACATTCTGTACGCATCTTTCCAAAGTACTACAAAATAATTGCCACTGAATCTTGAAATGCTGCCAGTAAAGACTGTGTCCCAGGTTTAGTGGAGTGGGGAAAGATGAATTAATTCAAGTGGGTCATCGTGAACCCACCTTGTAGTTTTAAAATTGTTTCACAGAGCCTGTTAGTCCTAGCCTCGGGGACCTTGAGCAGAAAGAGTAATTTCTTTTTTGTTATTGGAGTTCCCACCAAAGGGTCCTGTAGTTTGTTGTGAAGTTTGGACCAATCAGCTACTCGTATAGTGTTTAGTTCTTCTTCAAGTGATGGTCCCTATTGTATTCCACTGAGGGTTTATGTATATGCACCATGCATCTGGAGCCGGAGATTTTGAAAGTAGTTGTGTCTATTGGTCCGTGCATGCGCCTTTGGCTCACCTCATTGTTTTGCCCGAGGTGATAAAGGGCAGGGTGGACCAACCATGTATCCAGTTCCTTCTCACCGCCACGTGGTCCGGGTTAGAACTATTAGTGTCCTCTCACGTGTGATGCACTTTAAAAAAGATAAAGAGTTGTACATACTCTGAAGCTAACTATTTTACTGTTTTTACTGTTTATGTAGTAGTTTTGGTAGTTTACTTGTTTCAGTGCGTGGATACTGGACTATGCCAAAAAGCCCAGGCTTTAAAATTTGTGCCTCCTGCCTGCGACAAACATCAGCACTGCCTCTACTGCTTGGGAGAAGCCCATATTTCATCCAGGTGCAGTATCTGCCAGTCCTTCTCCAGCCGTACCCAAGAAGGCCAGGCTCTCTGCCTCCAGAAGCACCTCTTGGAAGTTGCCATGAAATCTTATTCGGATCCAGGTTTGGCGCCCCCCACCCCCCGCCACATCCTCCTCCATACATTGGCCTGAGGCAACCAGGAGTGCACCTCCAGCTACAGAGTCTGAGTCCGGCACCAGCGGTACAACCGCTATGGACCCTGTGCTGGGGCCTACTTTGGAGGCAAGGAAGCATGCACATAAGCATGGCAGTAAATCTTCCTCCATCCCTAAGAAAGGAGAGGCTCCTTCCATGAGTTCCAGTCATGGGAAGGTAGCACACTCTAAAGCACACAAGCACAAAAAGAGACCACTGAAACCAACGGATCTGTCAGTACTGGGTACCGACCTGCACACACCATCAACACTGGCATTTCTCTGAGCTCAAGAACCATCCACTCCGTGGAGGACCATTATTCCGTACTGGATAGGGACGGAGAGAAGTTCCTTGACTCCAGGGAGGTTAGGAAAAGCACCAGAGCCCCAGGAAGTGTTTGCTCTGGGAAAGCTGAGGTCTCTGCACCATCTGGGACCCTCTACTTCTAGGCAGACTTTATCTCCTGTGCAGGGCATGCCGCAGCTGAATCACTCCTCACTCCCTGCTCTGGTGGTGTACACATTTCCACTGGCTCCGCCAGTACCGCTGATGGAACTGGCCTTTGAATTTTTGTCTTCAGAGGAATTGGATGAAGGACGGGGGCTGTCCATCCCTTCCCGCCACTATGAGTACCAGTAGAGGCCTTCTACATCCTGGCAGTAACCTCCACTCCAGCCGCCCACCACAACACCCTCTGGCTGTATCATACTGGCTCTACTGGGGATCCTGGTCCCAATACCCATCCTTGGAACCTGTCTATTCTGTCAGAGAAACATCACCTATTTCGCTGTCTTGGGCATCTTCGAGTAGATGCTCAGAACTGATGATGGAAGAAGAGCCACTCAGTCCGGTTCCACTGGTACTGCTGGAACAGGAGAGATTCCCATCGTCCTCATCTGAAGCAGCAGTGGCTTTGGTATCTCCCGCATCTCCTGATGACTACTGCCAGTTCCAGGATCTTTTGCGCAGAGTGGCAGGAGAGCTGCATATTTCTCTGGAGGAGATCCAAGACACTCCTCAGAAGCTGCAGGACACACTTCACTCACTGGTGATAGGTAGAGTTGCTCTGCCAATCGATGCCATCCCCGAGCCAGCCTAGAATGGTTTGGCATATGCCAGCCACATGTATGCCTACTACCAACAGGGCAGATAAATGCTACTATGTGAGAGCCAAGGGGTATGAGTTTTTCTCATGCCCTCCCCCACCCCACCCGCAATTCACTTGTGGTCCAGGGAGCGATGGAATGGGCTAGAAATCAGCATCCATGCTCCAGCCCATCCGACAGGGAAGGCAAGCAGCTGGACCTTTTGGGCCACAAGATCTTCTCCCCTCAGTCAGCCTTCCATTCAGGATCTCGAATTATCAGGCATTACCTGGCAAATACAGTTTCCTTCATTACAGCAAATTGGAGGACTTTGCTGAAAAACTGCCACAAGACCAGGCAGACTTCCAAGCAATAATGGAGGGGAAGCTAGTAGCAAGAATATCGCTACTAGCTAGTAGCAAGAAAATCAACGACACCTTCCTGCCTCTTCCATGCTGCCACGAGTACTCCAGAGGATTGGACAGAACAGAATAACAGTCATTCTGAGAGAGTTCTAGTTTCCCAACCTCCTCTACTTGTCTGCCCATCCCCCAATTCCCATCCCTGCTTTCTTCAAGCTACTGACACAGCACAACAGCAGGATCAGACATCCCAATCCACAGACACTTCACCTCAGAGTGTGGTATTTGGACGGCATCTTCTCTAGAATGGGTGTGTTCAGCAGAAAGCAGTGAGAAAGAGCCCACTAGGTGTTCCTACCAGGTCAAGTGGAACTGCTTCACCCAACAGAAGGAGCTTTCCCCAGAAGCAGTGGAGATTCCCCTGCTTTTAGACTCCCTTCTGTCCTTGAAGGCATTGGGTCTGTCCCTCAACTCCCCCAAGGTAAACCCAGCGGCAGTTAACATCTTCCCCCTCCCCCACCAGAAGGACATTCTATCTTTACACACCTGCTGATTGCTAGGTTTTGGAAAAGTCTCATCAGAACCTTCCGACCTGTACAATCCATTTCTCTCCAGTGGGACCTCAAATTAGTTCTCTCAGCACTAACGGAACTGCCATTTGAACCACTGTCTTCATGCTCTGTGTCACTCCTTTCCATGAATGTCACTTTCCTTGTTGGCTGTCACTTCTTCGAGAAGGGTAGGTGAACTTTGGGGCCATGATTGCAGACCCTTTCTTCACCACTTTACATAAAGATAGTCTCCCTGCACTTGCATCCAAAGTTGCTTCCAAAGGTCGTTTCCAAAGCATCATACCTTGGAAGAGGAATGACGACTCCACTCTCTTGATGTCCGTCGGGTCTTCGCCTTCTACCTGAAGAGGACAAGACTGATCAGGAAATCTCCTAGACTCTTTGTTGCAGTAGCTGGAAGAGTTAGAGGTCAGACAATCTCCACGCAGAGAATCTTCACGTGGATTTTTGGGTGCATCACACTCTGCCGTCAGTTATTGGAACTGCCTTCAGTTTCTGGGGTGCGGGCACATTCCACAAGAGCCCAGGCTTTGACCATAGCCTCATTCCATGACGTACCAGTCTGGGACATATGTTGAGCAGCCATGTGGCATTATATCTTGGTGCAGGAATTGGTGGCAGATGCCTCCTTTGGCGCAGCTGTCCTCTGCTCAACCGTTCCATCTTTATCCTTGCACCTTCCTCCGACTGAAGTACTGCTCGTTAATCACCCTCAGTAGAATACAATAGGGACCATCACTCGAAGAAGAAGAGGAGGTTACTTACATATACTAGAGGTTCTTTGAGATGTGTTGGCCCTATCTGTATTCCATTTCTCACTCTCTACTGTGGATCTGTTGGATTTACAGTGAAGAAAGAACTAGAGATGTGGATGGTCTGCCCTGCCTTTATCACCTCGGATGAAACCATGAGGTGAACCAAGGGTGCATGCGCAAACCAACAGACACTACTACTTTCAAAATCTCCAGCTCCAGATGCATGGTGCAGTGTAATACAGATAGGCACCACACATCTCGAAGAACCTCCAGTTACAGGTAAGTAACCTCCTCTTACTGAGTGGCCGTTTCCAAGTTTTGTAGGTATAGCTAGTTACTCAGGTTGTTTCCTGGGGAATTTGGAGCAGGCTGCTCTTGAGAAACCATATCTCCAACCCCAGAACAGTCAATTTGCATGTCTGGAGCAGGTAGTCAGATGCAGCCAGTTAATCCTAGATTAGCTCTTTGCAGAAACTCCATTTATAGGTAAGACAAATTAGTGTCCTGTAGAAATGTCTTCTTGGCTTTATAGTTTTGTGTTTATCGTAGCTTCACCAAAAAGAGGTAGAGAAGCAACTAGCTGCTTCATTGTTTTGAGCACTGTGTTTACTACGGAAGGGGCACAATATGCTGGTGTTAATTTGATAATCTCATTGTCTTTATTCAGTGTTTGATAACTTCATTGTCATTTTATTTACAAAATATTTGCAGATCCAGAGGTTCCATTAAACCTGGTGTTTCTGAGGCAACCTTCTCCACTTACCAAAGTTACTGGGCAAAGTGCAGTTTTCCCATGTGTCACTGCAGGATTTCCAACTCCAGTTGTCAGGTGGATGAAAAACGAAGAAGAACTTACCACAGAAGGGTAAGTAATGGCTAGTAAATGGAAATTGACTTTCCCATTACCTAAACTTAGTAATATAGGAATTATTATGCCAAGTGAGACTTATGGTTTTAGACCTAAGTCCACTCAGCTTCTGCTTAATTTTAAAGTGACACAGTAGGTTCTACTGTTCTAATGTGGGGGTCTTCAGGTTGAGGGTTGTGACAAGCCTTGTGCCACGTAGGGTGGGCAGACCAACTCAGTCAATCCAGAACACTAGTAAAACAACAGAGGGTCTGTTCAGTTGATCTAAACCACAGGAATGTCAGTATGATGCCACATGATCACATTTATTTATTTGTTTGATATTTAAAAACAGGAAATTGCACACAACAAAACTGTTAAAAGAATGTTAAGGTGGCAAAGTCAAACATTTGAAAATAGGGAAATTCCAGAATTAAGGTTACCTTTGTAACCTAACTGGTCTCCCTTCTGCATATGCATTATGATATTATTTAATTACATGATCAAATGCTACGTTTTCCACAGTATCCTTGCCTCATTCAGTGCACAGAAAGGACGGTACTCAATGAGCAGCTATGGAGTATTTTTTTGTCCTCATTGTTCACTGTATGGTCCTATGCCTTATTTACTCCATACTATTCAAACCCTGCTTTGAAGACATTTATTAATTTCCTCGTGGGCTTTTTTTTGTGGTGCTTATCTCTAGAGTATCTGAATGGTTCACAAATATTAATTTATTTTCACAATATATTTGTGAGATTAGGTGGTAATATGCCTATTTTACAAATGAGAAACAGAGGCACAGAAATCAAGGTTGAAAGTATCTTAATTTTGGTGTCCAATTTCAGATGCCACGGACTAGATTTTTCAGTGTACATAGCATTATATAGCACTTTATATATTCAAAACCCAGCTCCCATTGATTTCAATTGCAGCTGTAAGTGTTCAGCCCTTCATCAGTTCAGATCCCAAGGCCTCAATTTGAGCACCCAGAAACATAGGAGCATACTATTAGTGACCATGCATTAAAGTTTGGTTTAAGCAATTTGCCAGGCGTCACACAGGGACTCTGTGACAGAGGTAGGGATAGAATCCAATTCTCCGTGGCAGAATTCAACTGCCTTACCCGTGAGATCATCCTTTCTCTTCCTGTAATCTCCTGCCTGAATCGCTATATATTTTACAACCTCTGCAACAAATGAGGCTGAGATCCTACAGACAAGTGTCCTTCATTATACAACCTTGATTCATTGATTTAGGGCTGAGTATTGCACGTCTTTTTCTAGATTTAAAGGCCAGTTATCTAGAATGTAAGTGGGTGTGTGGGTCTTTTCAAGCCAGCCTCCCAGGGTATGTCTACACTGCAATAAAACACCTGTGGCTCGCCCTTGTCAGCTGTCTTGGGCTCACAGAACTCAGGCTGTGGGACAATAAAATTGCACTGTAGACCTCCGGGCTTGGGACCTCGTGGAGGTGGCATTGGTCCCATAACCCAGACACCAGCCTGAGTCCAGACATCTACACTGCAGTTTTATAGCCCTGAAGCCCAAGTCAGCTGACATGGGAGAGCTGCGGGTGTTTTATTGCAGTGTAGGCATACCCCCAGTGACCTGATAGCCCCTGATAACTCCATACACTTTTATGAGCTAATGGTTACTACATCAGTGGACATCTAGTCTCTGAGAGAGATAGTTAAGAGGAATATTTCTTTTTCATTTAAAGCTCAAAATAAATGTTCACCTCTACAAAAAAGAGGGAATAAATAAGGGGTTGGGCCCTAAAAGCCTTTTTTAACATATTATACTACAAAGTCTCTTTGGTAAGCTAGGGGACGAGAGAGGTATTTGGCTGTTGCTGGCTAAAGTTGATTCCATTTGTGTTATGGCTTTTTCCTTAGAGAAGTGTGTTTGTTAACATGAAGTTTATTTTGAGGGGTAATAAAGAGGAAAATTTGATTTGCCTCACTCTGCAGAACATGAGTTCTTGATTCGTTTTTCATAGAACACAGTTCTCCTTTGAGTGATGAGTGTCTTCCAATGTGAGTGCACGTACGCTTCATGTGCCTGTGCCTGCTGCCTCCTTGTGCTCTGAATCAAGAACATAAGGGGTGACATTTATAGCCTGCTTCTCTAGTTCCTTTTTGCTGCTTGTGATTTGAGATGGAACCCCTGCAATTTTATAAGCTGTTCCAGTTCGAGTCTAGCTTTTTTTCTGGAAATAGTTTACGGTCGGATCATTGTATTTTATGAATTTAGGAGTTCCTTAGTGTAGATCAGGGGTCGGCAACCTTTCAGATTTGGTGTGCCGAGTCTTCATTTATTCACTCTAATTTAAGGTTTCACGTGCCAGTAATACATTTTAACATTTTTAGAAAGTCTCTTTCTAGAAGTCTATAATATATAACTAAACTATTGTTGCATGTAAAGTAAATAAGGTTTTTAAAATGTTTAAGAAGCTTCATTTAAAATTAAATTAAAATGCAGAGCCCCGCAGACTGGTGGCCAGGACCTGGGCAGCGTGAGTGCCACTGAAAATCAGCTCGCGTGCCGCCTGTGGCATGCGTGCCATAGGTTGCCTACCCCTGGTGTAGATAGTGTTTCAGGGTGTAGGGGTTCCCTGTCCATCACTCACCAGGCACTAGAGAATCAGCAATCCTGTGAGTTCTGGCTCCAAATACACCTAATGAAGTGGACAATGAGGCCCCAGTCTGCCCCCAAGTAATCTGCCCCCACAAGACGCTCCCTGGCTCTGGTCTGGCAGACACTATGCCTAAGGACGCTAGCAAGTGACGGTAGAAGCATAAGGACAAATACCCCCATAAGAAACAGGAAAAATCCCCTCCCTAAACCTTCCCAAACAAATGAGATTCCACACCTCAGTATGGGTGTGTCAGGAGCTCGCGAGGTGTGTGGGTCTGAACTACTGGTACCAAGGGCCAAGAGCATCCTGAAACAGCCAGCCACAGGAGGGGCAGGAACGACCCCGGTGTTAGCAAGGGAGACAAGGGAACAATTGCTGGCTACACTATACAGCACAGCGGGAAGAAGGACTTGGCAATACTGATTGAAATAGGCCCGGTTGGCTCTACCAAAAGGCAGAAGCCCATTCTGCTCCCCACCTGCGAGACCCAGATCGTGGAAAACTTGGCCTATATTTCTATCCAGAGTCGCTAATACTTGTGGAACCAGTGGTTTCGAAAGCGATACCCATACCATTGGTGCACCATTTGCTGGTACTGTCCACCAGGCAAGGTATCACAAAATGCATGGTTCCATTGTCTCTGCTGGTGGAATCTGAAGAGTCCTACTCCTCAAGTGAACTGGAGGCTGAGACAGTAGTTCCTCTGCCTGCTCTGAGGCATAACATTAACTGTGACAGGGCTCCAGAGTCTCTGGGCACCCTCATGCTGCCAAAGAGCATACTACAGGGTTCAGGACCAGTGGTACCCTCACCCTTAGCCTTACGATTTCACTCACTGGCTCTTTTGGGGTTCTTGGGATTCTTATTTCAGACGTCCCAGTTTCAAAGGATCTGAGTGGGAGTCCAGACAAAGGTTGCCGCTTAGGGAGGAACTGCAGCCCACTCAAGAGAATTATGAGGAGAATGATCAACCCAAAAAGACAAACCCAGTTAATCCTCCTGCAGCACTTTCATCCTCATCACCTGATGAGGTGATGTCACTGGCCTTGCCATTGTCACCCAACAACTACAAGCAGTTTAAGGACCTCCTGAGGAGTATTGTGGAGTCACTCCAGATTCCCCTAGAGGAAGTCCAGGGCCCCACTCACAAGTTGTTGGACCTCCTTCAGACTGCTGGGCCTAGCAAGGTGGTGCTTCTGATCAAGAAAACTATATTGGAGCCAACCAGGATGGTCTGGCATGCTCTGGCCACCTGTGCCCTCTCCCCCAAATGATCAATAAAAAGTACTTTGTACCATCTAAAGGGGAAGAATATTTGTTTTGTCACCCCACCTCTGATGGTTCAAGCTATCACCAGATGCAACAGACTGCACCAGCCTGGGTCTACTCCTTTAGACAAAGATGCCAAAAGATTAGATCTCTGCAAGGAGGAGTTCCTCCTCCACTAATGTACAATTTCACATTACAAATTGTCAGGCTTTTATTTCTAAATGTGATTTTATTAATTATAACAAACTGTGAGTTGACAAATTTCTACAAGAACTCAGACTTACCTGAAGACAGTCCATGCGATGAGGGACCTCATAGCTCAGCTTCAGCTGAGTTCTCAGATTACAGTTTGATTTTATCAGGTCCTTCCAGACCATGTGAACACTCTTCACAAAGCTCCATTTCCAGTGCCTCCAGGCATGGTTATGGACAGTCTATGCTCCGAGCAGAGACAACATGGACAAACAAGTCTCAGTTCTCCACAGTGTTCATCATTCTCCTGGCTGGTCAGCAAAGACACAGGGATCACACATCTCGCAGAATTCTAGTTACGGGTAGGGTAAGTAACATTTCTGTAGAATTTGATGCGTTCTTTTAAGACTGCTGTACGTGTGACACAACATTTGAAAGGATAGATGATTCTTTCTGCAGAACCCAAAAAGCTTTCCAACTCCCTCTGCCTCACTATTCACCATAGCATTGTTTGAGCAGATTTAGTGAAAATTGGCATTCTTCTCTAACTTGCAGTAAATCCTGCTGTATGATCAAATGGCTACCATTCTGAAACCGAAGCTTCCATGGATGATTTACTAGGTTAGTTAGTACCTTGTTTTCCCTTGATGTAAATTTTGGATATAAATTCCACTTTAAAAAAATTAATCTATTCTGCACAATTACACACTTATCTCCTTATGCAAAGTCTAGTAGGGAATACCTTTTTCTCATTGCAGTATTTTTCATAGCCTTCTGTTTCCCAGCCAAGTTGTAAAAAACCCTAGTATTCATATACAAGACACCTGAACACTCATTCTTTTTTCTTTCCTGTTTCATTCCAGCGCATAATCAAGCATGTTGAGGTCTCTTCCAACCCTAATCTTCTATGATTCTAT